GTTAGTATTTACTGCACTTTGGTCAATTTGTATTGTATTTGCTTAGGCATTCCCACTGCACTGGTTTTAAAAGAGGAATGGACGTTAGTTTGGTTGAATACCAATGTTGGAATGCGATTAGTTTTTAAGCACTAGCTTATTTTCCTTGCTTCAGGTACTATCACTGTTGGTAGCAACATGCTACGCGGCTCCGCAGCTTTATCAGACGGTGGCAGGAACTGTGAAAATTCCTGAACCAGGTGTAAACTTGGGAATGGTATTAACCGCCCCTGAAACCCCCATGCCGTCCCTCAGCATCCCTCACGGCGGCCCCAGCGCCCGTGCGGAGTCCAGGGACGCTTAGGGTCGTACCTCCGGCAGCTTCGCCTACGTGGACCCCGAGGGGGACGTCCAGGTGAGGAAGTACGCCGCCGCCCCCGGTTCTGGCTTCAGGGTGGCCGCCTCTGACCTCGTCGAGGACACGCCCGCCGTGGCCCAGGTCAAGTCCGCCCACGCCCGCGCTCACGCCCAACAAGTTGCTAAATCGTTAACTGTTGTCACGCAATTGTTATTCTTAACTGACATCAGCTCACTTCCCGAGTAGGCCTTCCTTTTTATATATCAATAAATAGTACCAAGAGCAGATGAATTTTCCTTTTACTTTACCAATATTTTGTTTTAGGAGACTGATACCAATAATGATAACCATGGGCATGATTCTCACATGCCATCCATTACGTTCACAAACGTGAGTGGAATCACAGTCTCAGAGGTTGTTTTCTTGCTTTTCATGAACAAAAAAGTTATCGCAGGCCTTTGTACCTTGTCTCACGCCATGACGGATTGCGGACAGCATCAAGGACCTGCAGAGTTTTATTCCCAATTTAACGTGGGAATGGCTTGAGTTGGGCGCATCAAATCGTGTCTAGTCAAAGTGATTCTGCCGCTGACCCGCAACCCGGTTAGTGTATCTTAGATATGTGATTATCTAGTATTGGAAATTGAGAAGAAATTGAGCCCCATGTCCATCCCTCTGCCACAGAGATGATAAAAGTGAATCTGGTTTCGAAAATGCTCGTTTCTTCCACTCACGATAGCCCCTTCTTTTCCATGCAATGCTTTGTCAAGATAAGAAAATCTAACAGACTTTCATTTTCTAATATGCCTTATCCCAATTATTTTTTAATGTGCTCTTGGAGTCTACAGGAAAACTGTGTGTTCATTCTTCTGTAGCTGCCCAAATGGCCAAATCACTTTGAAAAGATTATATAAAAATAGACAGGGAGAACTGTAGGTAGTATATGAACTGAATAAGAATATGAAAATATCCCCTGTATTCAGGGGTTGTTGAACTTACATGCTGACGCATCTGGAATCTCTAGAGCTTCGTATTTTGCACAAGAGGACAGAGATGGTAACTTACAGGTAGTGCCCAGCTGTTCCCGGAAACTTAGAGATGCCGAAAAAAATACTCACTATCTAGAGGCTTTAGTGTAGTTGGAGCCAGTACAACACGATAACTATCTATACGGCCAACGTTTTACGATCTTTTCGGCCCATCACCCCGTCGCCAGGACATTTAAGAGGCTCTAAATCATTCCTAATGTCTGAATTGAGTCATGATTTACCATTAAACTATTACGAGCTGAAGTATAAACCCTGGACTTCCAATGCCATGCCCGATTTGCTCATTAGGAAGGTAAACGACTGTAGGATGGCAGTGTGCCGGTCATTTACAGAAGCACGATAAGATATCCTCTTCCTCTGAACGAGTTCCAACTACGAGTCTTAACGGCGTCGTCTACCAATTCTGCCATGGCTGTGATTCTGCAGTTAGTAGTTATATGCACATACGTTACGACATAAGGCTCTGAGGATTGCACATGACACGACAGCTAATTCATATGTTTATTTTAACTAAATTTTATGTTTGGGTACATGCGAGTGAAAATGAAAGTGAAGAGTGCCTTATATAAGGTGTCTTGCGTGTGCTTACCACCGGGAGCGATTACCCTTACTAGAACTCTTTGGGAACACTTTATTGAGGTTTTGTTCCGCATTCAGAGCAAAGTATATGATGTTGTGCATGCGAGGCTGTGTAATCAAAGGCATTGTGCATGGATTTTAGATCTAATACCCATATAAAGTAAATTTTGATTTTATTTTAATTTGTTCCTTGATTTTCTATATTTACCTACCTTTTTAAACCAAATTTCAATCTAAAAATATGCATTGATAATAATAATCAACTTTATCAAAATATACAATTGGATATGAACACGATTAAGATATAAACAGGATCAAAATCGGAAGAAAACTGCATCATTCCTTGATATGACAAGCGGCAAGGTCCTTCTCATAGCTCTATACAATAAAGTATAATACTACAGGTGGATCCTTTTTTTTTTTTTTTTTTTTTTTTTTTTTTTTTTTTTTTTTTTTACCAGAATCGCGGTTCAGGAAGACAAAATAGCAGATGCTGTACTGCCAAATATAAGATATATTTTCATTTATGAAAGCGTATGTATATACGCTGGCATACATACGCAATATTACCTGCTAAATAGATTTTCTGCAAATCTATTTTTCCTGGTGTTTAAATATCCTTTCAAAACATAATTTGTGATGTCATGCAGAAGATTAAGCAAGTTGTGATCATGGCTGGTACTGAAATTACTAACAGTTAATGGTCCTGTCAGTGGGGGATACATTCATAATTCATTCGAACTACCTCTTATTGTCATTGGAAGGTGAAGTCAGAAATATGTACATGATGTGTTATGTATATGTCTACTTAATGGGAACAACGAAGGGAAGGGCAAGAAAACACGAATATGCCGAAGGCCTTTTCACTATTGCCCTGACGAAGCAATAGTGAAAAGGCCTTCGGCATATTCGTGTGTTTTCTTGCCCTTCCCTTCGTTGTTCCTGTTGCAATCTGTTCAACATGAATTCCACACATGTCTACTTAAGTCTACGTATGTCAGGTTAAGGACTTATGATGATGGACTTTGCGCAACGACATATCTGCGTTAGTATATTGTGTTATCTATCACTGCGTTTCTGTTTATCATTACTGCTCAAAATTCAAATTCGTCACATCCTGCTTTATATATAAGAATAAATCGCATCATTCATAATGGCACATTTTATTGTTAGAAAAAAATATATATACAAAGATATAAATGAATACCCGTTGACTGGCCAGTTTGCAGGTTAAACCAGCGTGACAGCGGAATTTCTTGCTAACGACATAGCAGCTTGTTGGGCGTGGGCGCGGGCGTGGGCGGACTTGACCTGAGCCACAGCGAGCGTGTCCTCGACGAGGTCAGAGGCGGCCACCCTGAAGCCAGAACCGGGGGCGGCGGCGTACTTCCTCACCTGGACGTCCCCCTCGGGGTCCACGTAGGCGAAGCTGCCGGAGGTACGACCCAAAGAGTCCCTGGTCTCCACGCGGTGTTGGGGCCGCCGTAGTGGCCGAAGGTTACTGGCCGGCCTCGTCCTGGGCGTGGAATTGGCCTCCCACGTGAGGGACGCTGAGGGAGGGCATGGGGGGTTCAGGGGCCATGAGGGGCTCAGGCGCTGCCACTCAGTGACGGGGACAGCGCTCTTGACACAAACTTTGCCAGCAAGGACCTTCACACCACGCGGATTGGGTCCAGCAAGAGCCAGCCACAAACAGGTGGCTCACCTTCCTTGACCACCGGTCACAGGGCGGCCTCTTCAAGACCAGGCGGCAAATGGGGAGGGCAGGTGTAATCTACCAGCTCCTGTTCATTGAAGAAGGGTAACCTGGAACGGTTCATGGGACACTGAGGTGGGCTGGCCTTCACAACGTTCGGACAGGCAACCGTTCTGCTTGAATAAAAGCGGCCTTTATTCCCAAGTCACTGTCTGAGAAAGTGCCACCGTGAGTCTCAGCCATAACAGCCGGAAAACGGACTGCGGAGTTAAGTTGCAATCAGCCTGATAAAACCTGCCAAAGAAAATGTTAGATAAAAACCATATCAAAGTGCATCTACACGTTCATAATGGAAACAGCCAAGACTTCCATAAGCTCCATAAAGCAATCAGAAATTATTAACAAAGTACCAAGAATCGAACACATCTAACTGACAGAGTACACATATCGCATGCTCACAATATGCTCCATGACAAACGCGCCCTAGCACAGATGACCGAAGGTCTTCGTTTGGATTTTGTAGTACTCGATCGTAATATTTTGTTGTTGTTTTGTTTCTTTTTGGACCTTTTTAACATTTGACCCATGGCCACGTTCTTCCCATGTATTTCGTTTTATGTATTTTAGCGATGTAAATATTCTTTTACACTTGACATTCTGTATTAATGAATTGTCATGTATCAATTATGATTATACATCCCTGATCAATCATTTTGTCTATAAAGAAATTGTTATTACATTACATTCTTAATCAGTCATTATTGTTATGATCATATTCTTTTAATCATTATTGATATCTTTATTAACCATTGCTATATTATCATATTATTCATTACACAATTCTCATTATAATGATTGATAATAACAAGATTATTATTATCATTAATGTCAGTATTATCATTGCTATCATTATCATCGCTATTATCTTTATTCTATGATGAAACATTTCATTATCATCATAAATTAATATCATCACTGTAATCATGTTCATTATCCTTATCTCTATCATCTTCCTCACTCATCCTCTCTGTTCCTATCCTTCATCATCCTGCAATCATCATCATGTTATTAGGAATCTATAATCATGATCACTGCTAGGGTTTACATATCCTTCAAAGATAATCAAAGTCAGTTATTATCATTTACTATTACTATTTTTTATTATTAACATTGATCATTATATATTACTATTAATTATTATTATTATTATTATTCATTACCATTTTATTGATATTATTAGAATTATTATTATCATTATCATTACTATCATCAGCATAGATGTCTTAGTGAAGTAAAATCTTTAAAAATCCGAAGAATCCCTAAGTAGTATAACATGTAC